ATATAGTGATATATGTACAATATATATAGAATGTAAATATAACCACAATATTTGCTTTTATAAATAATTTCTTCTGTTTTCTGCATTCAGATAAGTGTAGACTGCTGGCAACTAAACAACTCAATTCTTCGGAAAAATGAAGGACTTAATTCACCTTTCTTTTGATACTATACTCCTAGGAGATAAAATTCATTGCTAGGTTCATGACATTGTTTTAATTCTCTTGTAGTTATTGCCTGCATTTGTATCTCATGCTAAGCTAAAGACTGACACTTGGTCACTGATCTAGGATATGCACCATGTACAAGTACATATACCTATGTAATCAGTTTTTATGATATTCATTTTTATTTCAAAGGAATATATTTTACTTTATTATTGTTACTTTCTATTGTTCATCTATGACATTTTAGCTTTGGAACAATCCTTGGAGAGATGAAGAAACACAGATTTCTTACTATAAAAGAATGCTTAGGGAGAAACATGTTTTTTCTTTCTGTATAACAAAGTAACATGGTGTATTCTCTCATGTTGTGTCTGTGGTTGGGTATATATGTACATTTGCTCCAGATCATGTGTCTAGGAGAAAGTGAGCTTAAAACGGAGCCAATAAGTCACTTATGCAACTGCCTTTTTTGTAAAGATGCAGTAAGGACTTTTTCTCCTGTAATATTTGTAATCCTTTAAAAAATTGTATACACTAAAGTACCAATTCAGTGTTTGTTTAAAACTGTATCCATCTACTTAGTAGAAAAAGAAAAAAGTAGTCTGGATGTTGGCACCGTCATGAAACACAGGCTTTAGATAAATGCTCATTTCATGGCTAATAATGTCCACTATGCTAATCATTTCATGAACAACCATCTCATGGCAATCATTCTGTGAGACTGCTACAACAGGCTCTCAAAATTCTAAATGGGCTAAAAAACTAAATTAAATTGACTCAATTAAAGTGACCACCCACAAAAATAGTTTTGTTACATTTTAAGATTATACTCCAGAATATTTCATAATATACAGAAACAAGGTATTTGGAACAAATTAATAATTGTTATAGAACACAATGTGCAGAATTCACAATTATCACTGATTATAGATATCATTTTTAAACCTTTTATCCTATGACCTAGAATTAAAATTTGATATATAGCATCAATAAAGATATATTATTTTATTTTATATTCCACCATGTTCCAATGATGTTCCTAATTAATAAAAATCAAGATGTCCTGTAATTGTGGCTAATGTAAAGCTACTTTTTAAAAGGTGGAAGCAAATATTTTCCTTCACTAGCCATTTATAGACCAGATGAGGGACAAAATAATTCTGACAACAGGAACAGTTTTATGAGCATTAATAAATTGGTAAATGGATTTTTATATGAATCAAAAAATGCAGGTTATTTTTCAAAATGAATAGAATACTACTTGTTCATTTTTAAAATGGAATTCTGTTCTATTCTATTCTCAGTGGCGCATATTTCTAGTTGAAGAAATACATGTTTTTCTACTTATTCTTATTTTAAACCAAAATCTGGTAATACAGTCATGATTGGGACTCTCAAATGCAGGATGAGAAAAGGCTAATCTTTGTTTCATCCATGCAAGTCCATAGAGCTTGAGAAACAGAAATGCACAGTTCTGTTAGGCAGTCACTTCTGGACTTTATATTATTTTCTGCACTTTTCATTAGGCTTTGAAAAAATGCTGGCATGTGTGAAAATAAACTAACTTACAATAAGCTATGATTACAGACTCAGAAAATTTTACCACTTTTAACCAGAATCTGATCTATGTACAGCTTAGCATTGTACATGATTTCAGTCATTGTATGGAGGAATGTATGCATCACTATTTGACAAATGATTTATATTATATTACATTCTGAAAACAAGACTGTTTTGAATTAGTTCAGTGAAAACTTATTTTTGTATTTTTCTTTGCCTTACTTAAGCCTGTACAACTGCATCATATTAATAATGTACTCCAGCATGATCTACATTTGCAACTGTTTTCATGACAATCTGCAACATTTCAAGGTCACAAAACCTAACATAAATTTATAAAAGATATGGTTGACTTTACATAATGTTTTTGGGGTCCCCCCTTATATTATTATTTTTTGCTCAAAATGAGAATCAATCTTTAAATAAGTCCCCAAGCTTGAATTCAAACCTTAAAACTCTTCTAGAACAGCATTAATTACAGAAATACAGATAGTATTTTCCCATTAATATGCTAGAGATTGTCAATTTTCCAAATATACTGTTTAGGACATTGATGATCTACACATGGAAATAAATGCACAACAAATGGATATAAACCAAGTACTTAATAAGAATATATCTGTTTTGCAAGATTGGTTGACAATAGTGATCAGACTGTGTATTAATTTAAATCAGTACAGTATTAACCAGGATAACTCTATTACATTCACAACAGCATCTGTTAAAAAAGAGTAAACACAAGACTTGTATGTTATCTGTCAGGAATCCCAGACTGTGGACTGGCACTGGACCATGGCATCCCAACTGGGCTGCACAAACAAGCAAAGCCCCATCCACAGGATGCAAGCAGAATATAAAACCACACCCCTTCTGATCCGTAGAAAAACCTTTCTCTATGGAACCGGTCCCTGGTGCCCAAAAGGTTGGGGGGCACTATTATAGGTAATAATTGCTCTAGTTGTGCAATAATTGGATTTCAAGACTGGAGTAATTCATTTCTAGAAAAAAGTATATTTTAACAGATAAAATAATTCTAGCACCCTGTAGTGGAGAATAAACTTAATATGCCAACTGATCATTTATTCACAATTAATAAAGGGTTGTAGGTAATATGGGCATTTAGTGCATATTATTTCAGAAACCTAAAATAGTATAAATTATTTTGGGCTTCCATGAAAACCAATTATGTTTCTTCATTTTGCATACTTAAATACCGTGGTGGCGCAGTGGTTAGAATGCAGTACTGCAAGCTACTTCTGCTGACTGCAGTTCGACAGTTCAATTCTCACTGGCTCAAGGTTGATTCAGCCTCCCATCCTTTTGAGGTGAGTAAAATGAAGACCCAGATTGTTGGGGGCAATATGCTGACTCTGTAAACTGCTTAGAGGGGTTTTTAAAGCACTTTGAAGTGGTATATAAGTCTAAAAGCTATTGCCATTTATAAACTTCACAGCAATGATTTAGAACTAATAGGAAGCATAGATATTTTTATCTGAAAATGAATGCACTCTGATTCTTCCCTTCTTCGGTCTCAAGAAAACTATATTCTTGTCCACTTCGATTTATGTGCCATCCAAAACAATAGAGACTAGGCAACTGATACCTAGTCAGATCAGGATTGAGGGACAGCTGTTTAGAGATTTTCTCTATTCAGATTATATGGGAAAAGCTGCTGACTTTATTTTTATTTTATTCATACTTCATTTATCTATACTTGCTTGTCACAGGAGAGTAAAAAAATAAATAAAAATTCACCCTCCCTATTAGCAAAAGAAGTTAAAGAAAAGTAATATATAGATATAAAATGGGGAATATCTGATTTGGTCATGTCTGAAAAACTTTCAGCACCAAAGTGAAGATAAGTTAAAAGAGTGAAACAGATTTTGAAAAGAAGCTGGTCCTGTATAATACCACTGGATTTTTCATTGGCCAGACAGTACCTTTTCATTGCTTAAAATGTACTAACTTGTAATATGTTTACTTTCTGCGAACCTTCACAATTTGTCTCTACATCAAAGTAGCATTTAGATCCAATTATTGGATTGTAATTTATAAACTCTTAAAAGAAACCTGAATAGATATAATGAAAGGCAATGAGGATGATCAGGAAACTAAATCAGGGACACTAAAACTTATCATGGCATAAAAGAGGAATTGGACATATTTAGTGAGGCAGCATTTGTTTCAAAAAAATTCAAAAAAGATACTCTAGAATATGTGGCAGCAATAATGCTAAACATCTTTAAATCAGTCATGTCTTTTTTTCAGGCTTCTACAGGAACCTTTTTCCCTCATGAAATGTCAGAGAAAATCCTAATGTTTGCCTTAGTGTTAGGTGTTAACATGTTATATCCTGTGAAACTTTATAATTTATTTATGCACCAAGACACAGGTTGGGTTATTACATTATGCATCTAATATGAACCAACTTTTATGGTTTGTACACCATGGTCACATGCGAACCAAATCAACTTGTCTATATTCAGCAAACCATGGTTTGGCTAGATGCATTTTGTGGCTAGCTTGTGTCAGCTTCACAATGCTATTTTAATTTTAATCTACATGGCATGCCTACTAAAAGAAACTTGA